CTGTTCCAGCCTTCAGAGTTCTCATTGTAGTATCGCATTCAAATCAACCACCTGTTAATCTTCTCATGTTTTTAAACTGAAACCTCAGTCTTTTATACATTAAGTGGATCTCCTGGAACAGTTAACATGTACATAGTTAACGTGACACGTTTCTTTGTTGTTTTTGTCTATTTTTATTTTGGGAATACGGAAGAGTAGTTGGAGGAGGGGATACTAGCAAATGCTCTATCTCCTGCATGATCTACTGTATGGCCTAGAAATGTATTGATACCTGTCAAATTCTAAACAGTTTAAAAAAAAAGAAAACTAGCGACTTGCCAGTAAGATGTGGAATAAATTCAGTTTATTTGTCATATGCACAAGTGTAATGCAATTCTTATATTGCTATTGATGTGGAGATATTGAGCTGCTGTCTGCCAGCTGGGGGTTATTTTGTTCTGCTGTTTGCTTCCTTCACTGATGCCCCCCCGTCTGCCGGTGTTCCAGAGCTCACGGTTCTGACCGAGAGGCTGCGGGAGGCCGAGCAGGACAGGGCCCTGCTCCAGCGAGAGAATCAGGAGCTGTCCACCAGACTGTCCTCTGCCGAGGCCTGGCAGACCCAGCTGAGCCAGGCCCTCAGTGCAGAGACCGAACGGTGAGGGAGCTTTTTTTTAAAGATCCTAGCGCAGTCAAAATCCACTGCGTCTTAACTGCTTCATCAGCTCAGTTGATTGTCGTGTGCACAAGTGCAGTGAAATGCTTATTTGCATGTATGCTCCAATACAAAGACATTAAGGTAACGCCAAAATGCATAAATACAGAAACAGCCACAGCAACAAGAACAAGTTAAGTAAGATGCATCTTAGAGAAGAAAATAAATAAAAACATCACTGTATCAGTGTGAGCCAGTGGTAGGGGTAGAGTTCAGTAGTCTGACAGCCTGTGGGAAGAAACTGTCTCTGAGTCTGGACGTTCGTGCCTTTATGCTCCTATAACCCTCACCAGAGGGGAGGAGGGAGAAAAGTGAGATGCCAGGATGATCCTTAACGATACTTCCAGCCTTCCTGAGACAGCGAGTAGTAACAATGTCTGAATTAGAGGGGAGCTGTACTCCAGTGATGGACTGGGCTGACGTGATCACCCCCTGTAACAAGAAGCTGCTGCCAAAGCACACTGTGATCCCACACTCTCAATAGCACACCTGTAAAGTGTGGTAAGGACAGTTGAAGACTTTTTCAGCTGTTTGAGGAAGTAAAGGTGTCATTCTCACTGGAGCTACAAAGAAGGCACATGCTGGGACCACGTTAAATCACTAGTGATGAAGGTGAATGTGGCTCAGGTACGCCTTAAGTGGTTGTTAAGTTTGCGTGTTAAC